CCCCACGGACATGCAGAAATAGGCCGAAATGCCCCACGGACATGCAGAAATAGGCCGAAATGCCCCACGGACATGCAGAAATAGGCCGAAATGCCCCACGGACGTGCAGAAATAGGCCGAAATGCCCCCACGGACATGCAGAAATAGGCCGAAATGCCCCACGGACGTGCAGAAATAGGCCGAAATGCCCCACGGACGTGCAGAAATAGGCCGAAATGCCCCACGGACGTGCAGAAATAGGCCGAAATGCCCCACGGACGTGCAGAAATAGGCCGAAATGCCCCACGGACGTGCAGAAATAGGCCTATATACTGATTAGCTATCGCTGGATAACATTAAATATGCGTAACAGATATAATTTGTACATTGAATACTTTGAGTAAATTTATTATTTGAGTTATTCACGTGATAGTCAGTGTTGCCAGTAAGTCCAATGTTGTCTAGTGTCGCCAGTAAGTCCAATATTGTCTAGTGTTACCAGTAAGTCCAATATTGTCTAGTGTTGCCAGTAAGTCCAATGTTGTCTAGTGTTGCCAATAAGTCCAATGTTGTCTAGTGTTGCCAGTAAGTCCAATGTTGTCTGGTGTTGCCAGTAAGTCCAATGTTGTCTAGTGTCGCCAGTAAGTCCAATATTGTCTAGTGTTGCCAATAAGTCCAATATTGTCTAGTGTTGCCAGTAAGTCCAATGTTGTCTAGTGTTGCCAGTAAGTCCAATGTTGTCTAGTGTCGCCAGTAAGTCCAATATTGTCTAGTGTTACCAGTAAGTCCAATATTGTCTAGTGTTGCCAGTAAGTCCAATGTTGTCTAGTGTTGCCAATAAGTCCAATGTTGTCTAGTGTTGCCAGTAAGTCCAATGTTGTCTGGTGTTGCCAGTAAGTCCAATGTTGTCTAGTGTCGCCAGTAAGTCCAATATTGTCTAGTGTTGCCAATAAGTCCAATATTGTCTAGTGTTGCCAGTAAGTCCAATATTGTCTGGTGTTGCCAGTAAGTCCAATGTTGTCTAGTGTTACCAGTAAGTCCAATATTGTCTAGTGTTGCCAGTAAGTCCAATGTTGTCTAGTGTTACCAGTAAGTCCAATATTGTCTAGTGTTGCCAGTAAGTCCAATGTTGTCTGGTGTTGCCAGTAAGTCCAATGTTGTCTAGTGTTACCAGTAAGTCCAATATTGTCTAGTGTTGCCAGTAAGTCCAATATTGTCTAGTGTTGCCAGTAAGTCCAATATTGTCAAGTGTTACCAGTAAGTCCAATATTGTCTAGTGTTGCCAGTAAGTCCAATATTGTCTAGTGCTGCCAGTAAGTCCAATATTGTCTAGTGTTGCCAGTAAGTCCAATGTTGTCTAGTGTTACCAGTAAGTCCAATATTGTCTAGTGCTGCCAGTAAGTCCAATGTTGTCTAGTGCTGCCAGTAAGTCCAATATTGTCTAGTGTTGCCAGTAAGTTCAATATTGTCTAGTGCTGCCAGTAAGTCCAATATTGTCTAGTGTTGCCAATAAGTCCAATGTTGTCTAGTGTTGCCAATAAGTCCAATGTTGTCTAGTGTTGCCAGTAAGTCCAATGTTGTCTAGTGTTGCCAGTAAGTCCAATATTGTCAAGTGTTGCCAGTAAGTCCAATGTTGTCTAGTGTTACCAGTAAGTCCAATATTGTCTAGTGTTGCCAGTAAGTCCAATGTTGTCTAGTGCTGCCAGTAAGTCCAATGTTGTCTAGTGCTGCCAGTAAGTCCAATGTTGTCTAGTGTTACCAGTAAGTCCAATATTGTCTAGTGTTGCCAGTAAGTCCAATGTTGTCTAGTGCTGCCAGTAAGTCTAATGTTGTCTAGTGTTGCCAGTAAGTCCAATATTGTCTAGTGCTGCCAGTAAGTCCAATATTGTCTAGTGCTGCCAGTAAGTCCAATATTGTCGAATGTTACCAATCCAGAAGTTGGAAAATATTGGCCTTTTAGTTTGCAACGATCAATATGAATAATGATGTCTGATGGGTGGAAACATTGATAGGCATGTGATGATAATGGAATAGAGAGAGAGAGAGAGAGAGAGAGAGAGAGAGAGAGAGAGAGAGAGAGAGAGAGAGGGAGAGAGAGAGAGAAAATGCTATTGTGATAGCATGTTCGCGTTGATATCGTGGTAATGACTGTACGTGATCATTACTGTCTTCGTAATCATGACTGTGAACGTAATCGTTGATGTGTACGTGAGTGATGACTGTTTACGTGGTGATGTACGTGATTGATGACTGTGTACGTGGGCTTTCTCATGTACGTGGTGAAGACTGTGTACGTGGTTTGTCTCTTGGAAGTAACATTATGAATTTTCTGGTCTAGTGATTTCGACGTTCACACCATTAATAGTTTACTTCTGTCTGTCTGTCTGTCTGTCTGTCTGTCTGTCTGTCTGTCTGTCTGTCTGTCTGTCTGTCTGTCTGTCTGTCTGTCTGTCTGTCTGTCTGTCTCGTTTCATTTATGTCTTTCCCGTCTCTCTGATTATCTGAATGTGTTCATTGACATATGTTTATGCGCCTGTCAGATTATGAGCCCAAATACCTGTCAGTCTGAGTAATGACTAGACAGCATCTTGTAATTGGCGATTATTTGCCTGATGAATAAATAGGGATTGAGAAATTGTTAAATAGGAGTTACTAAATAGAAATATATAGAAGATTATCTTTCTATTAGGATATATTTGCGAACGTGGCGATTCGCTACTTTTAGTGAAACCACAATTGCGGTCGCTACAACCACTACTAGCATCACTACCACAACAATCATCATCTACCACCAGCACCACAACCAGTCACCACCAACCACCATTATCACTATCAACACAACAGCCGACAAAGTCATCACCTTGCCATTTCCATCACGACTAGTGACCTCATCACCATCATTACCACCACCACCTACCACCACCACCACCACCTACCACCACCTACCACCATCTACATACCGCTACCCGAGCACAGTGACTCTGGGGGCCCCATTCCCCTCATCACCCTCCCTACAAGGTCGGAAGACACACCTCAGTATGGTATAACATTAACCTTTGGCTGTTAAGGGAAGGTAAAGCATCCTTAATGTCTCTGTTGATCCGGTTACTGAGTGAGAAACAAGGACGGGACATGAGGGGCAAAATGGTTGAGGAAATTGGGAATATTGGGATAATGGGGCTGGAATTGTGAGCCACAATAAGGAAAATAAAAACAAAGAGGAAAGTAAAGGGGAAATGACAACAATTGGATGGGTAATAAAGAGCAGATAATAAGGCCACTGGGGTAGTAAAGAGTGAGGGGGGGGGGAGAACTATTAATTGTGATTGCAAGAATAATTAACATAGGAATTGAGAGAATAATTAACAATTATTAACATATAATAATTATAATACATGTATTATAATCTATTGTTTATTCGAAATTTAAGTATAAAAATCTTGTCTTTTCAGAAAAAGACTTTTTTAACACAGGGTTCCTGCCCCCCCCCCCCCATTGCCCACTCCCCCATCTCGCTGACCATGAGGATATAAGCTGGAGTCGAACCGGGAGTCCTTGAGTAAATACGACTTAACTCCTCTTCTAAAACGCCTCTAAAAGGCCGGACTTGCAAGCCTTTGATGGCTGAAGATCTCAGCTTGTCGCTCGGCTCAGCCAAATGTCCCCATAACGCTTTGGGAGCTTTTGTTCCTATTGTGGAGGGCAGAAAGCTTATTAAGCTTATCGAAGATCTCAACCTTACGCCTCCGAGTTATCCTCTCCAGAATGGCACCCACAACAGTTGATTAACTCACGGGTATCTATTTACCTGTAGGTGAATAGGTGCAGAGGGGGTAAAAATATTGGCCAAACGTCTCGTCCTACGCGGGTATCGAATCTGGGACTATTCAGTTTTGGAGGAAGCCTATAGAGAAGTTCCCTTGATCACGGGCTAGTGGAGAGGGATAGGTAGGATAATTATCATGTTGAAGCAATAAACCGACTATCCAGCACTTAGAAGGGATATAAGGGCAAGGATCTTGGGTAGGACGAAGGGATGGAATGGTGAACGACCACTCAGGGAATCGAACGCCGACCTACAAGAAGCGCGGCCATTGATGTACCGTCCAGTCCAAGTGGTTGAGAAAGGAGGCATAGGCTACAGACCTGTCAGCAACCAACCACGAAATCACACGTGAAAAAAAAAATCAACCCGTCCTCCTACTGGCATGACGTATCTTGACGCATGCTTTACCTAAAGCCAAAAAATGTCGTGCAAGAGAAAACGACATAGGGGAGCTGGTCGGCCGAGCAGACAGCACGCTGGACTTCTGATCCTGTGGTCCTGGGTTCGATCCCAGGCGCCGGCGAGAAACAATGAGCAGAGTTTCTTTCACCCTGTGCCCCTGTTACCTAGCAGTAAAATAGGTACCTGGGTGTTAGTCAGCTGTCACGGGCTGCTTCCTGGGGGTGGAGGCCTGGTCGAGGACCGGGCCGCGGGGGCACTAGAAGCCTCGAAATCATCTCAAGATAATCTCAAGATAAATCTCAAGACATCATTATTCTTGCGTCCTGCTAGTCTCTTGTCGTATTTTGCAGTTATCAGCTATTCCCCCTTCCTGTTCCTGTCCTCCCACCTGTCCACACAAAGTCCATCTTGAGGTTATCTTGAGATGATTTCGAGGCTTTTAGTGTCCCCGCGGCCCGGTCCTCGACCAGGCCTCCACCCCCCAGGAAGCAGCCCGTGACAGCTGACTAACACCCAGGTACCTATTTTACTGCTAGGTAACAGGGGCACAGGGTGAAAGAAACTCTGCTCATTGTTTCTCGCCGGCGCCTGGGATCGAACCCAGGACCACAGGATCACAAGTCCAGCGTGCTGTCCATGACACAAATTGGTGTATAAATCCCCAGTAAGCAAACATCACACTCATTCACACCTGTGGGATACAGGGCAACTATGTTCCTATTCCTATAGAGTCCAATATCCACTCATGTGGCCCAGGATTTTCAGTCGTGTGGCTGTGGAGTGAATAGCTCGTTCATTGTTCCCAAATGCCTGTTGACTGGCCTAAAGCCGGGCCAGACTTTAGTAAACTCCGGTCATTAGGAACTTGACACAGCGCATCGCCCCATTTGGCCCACAACGTGACCAGGATTCCCAGCTGAGGCTCTCTTCTTGCACCGGGTCGATCCCCAACCGGGTCAATCTCCACCGGATCAATCCCCACCGGATCAATCTCCACCGGGTCAATCCCCACCGGGTCAATCCCCACCGGGTCAATCCCCACCGGGTCAATCCCCACCGGGTCAATCTCCACCGGGTCAATCTCCACCGGGTCAATCCCCACCGGGTCAATCCCCACCGGGTCAATCCCCACCGGGTCAATCTCCACCGGGTCAATCTCCACCGGGTCAATCCCCACCGGCTCAATCCCCACCGGGGCAATCCCCACCGGGTCAATCTCCACCGGGTCAATCTCCACCGGGTCAATCCCCACCGGCTCAATCTCCACCGGGTCAATCCCCACCGGATCAATCCCCACCGGGTCAATCCCCACCGGCTCAATCTCCACCGGGTCAATCCCCACCGGATCAATCTCCACCGGGTCAATCCCCACCGGGTCAATCTCCACCGGGTCAATCCCCACCGGGTCAATCCCCACCGGGTCAATCCCCACCGGGTCAATCCCCACCGGGTCAATCTCCACCGGGTCAATCCCCACCGGGTCAATCCCCACCGGGTCAATCTCCATCGGGTCAATCCCCACCGGGTCAATCTCCATCGGGTCAATCCCCACCGGGTCAATCTCCACCGGGTCAATCTCCACCGGGTCAATCTCCACCGGGTCAATCTCCACCGGGTCAATCCCCACCGGATCAATCCCTACCGGATCAATCTCCACCGGGTCAATCCCCACCGGGTCAATCCCCACCGGGTCAATCTCCACCGGGTCAATCCCCACCGGGTCAATCTCCACCGGGTCAATCTCCACCGGGTCAATCTCCACCAATTCAATCCCCACCGGGTCAATCCCCACGCGGTCAATCCCCACCGGGTCAATCCCCACCGGGTCAATCTCCACCGGGTCAATCTCCACCGGGTCAATCCCCACCGGGTCAATCTCCACCGGGTCAATCTCCACCGGGTCAATCTCCACCGGGTCAATCCCCACCGGGTCAATCTCCACCGGGTCAATCTCCACCGGGTCAATCTCCACCGGGTCAATCTCCACCGGATCAATCCCCACCGGGTCAATCTCCACCGGGTCAATCCCCACCGGGTCAATCTCCATCGGGTCAATCTCCACCGGGTCAATCCCCACCGGGTCAATCCCCACGCGGTCAATCTGTTGGGATATTTGCTGTGAGTTTGTGCTATCGCCGATGATGTAGTTGACGGCAGCTTCGGCAGTTTGCGTCAAACCGATTGATTGATTGATTGAGGAAAATTAAGCCACCCAAAAGGTGGCACGGGCATGAATAGCCCGTAATGCGTCAAACCGATTGGCGTTGACATGTATATGTCTTGCTTGGTTGACGGTGAAGAAAGACCTTCCGCTATGTATAGGATCTCTGGTGGCGCAGTGGTGACATTCGCCGGCCTGCACCTCGTGAGCCGTTTGGTCTGGGGTCGAGTCCTGGTCAGGGAGGATTGACTAGGCGCCAATCCTTAACTATTCGCCTCTGTTCACCCAACAGTAATCGGGAACCTGGTTATTAAACGATTGGCGAGTCATGTTTTAGGATCTTACGGGCTATTCATGCCCGTGCCACCTCTTGGGTGGCTTAATCTTTATCAATCGTGTTTCAGGGAGGAACTATTAGAGAAAGGAAAAGCTCACAGCCTGCTAATACAAGTCAGCAGTCGTCTGTTACTGTGCTCACATATGTATAAATAAATAATTTAATGAATAAATAATGTAACAAATAAGTAATGTAACGTTTGGGTGAGTGTGAAGATAATGTAGAGGCCGCAAGACTCCAACACCCTCTGGTGTCCTTTGTGAGTAGTGCCTGGACTCTTGATGTAAACCTGGGTTATTGCAAGGCATTGCAGGCCTGTCATCTGTGTGGCGCTGACGTATAGTTTAACGCCATCTATGAGCGTGCAGCTGAATTATTTCCTGAGCGCCAGCTGTAGGTGTACGTCTCTTTACTATCAGTTATACAATACCTCTCTTGTAGCTGGATCTATCCCCGCCTCTCCTTGCTCCCTCCCTCTCTATCCACACCTCTCTTTCCTCCCTCTCCATCCACAACCTCCTGCCTCATCCCTCTCCATCCACAACCTTCTGCCTCATCCCTCTCCATCCACAACCTCCTGCCTCATCCCCTACCCTCTCGTACTGGGGGTACAAGAAGGTAGGGGATGGGGGATGGGAAGGGGACGAAGCAGGAGGGAATGGGGGGAGAGGGGGAGAGGAGTAACAAAGAGGAGGGGGGGGGATGGGAAGACTTACAAATTAGCTGCTTGAGCAAGCCCCGCTACCTGGGAGCGGTCTTTACCGCTACTCTCAGGCAACAACACGAAACAAAATTTGTGATTCTCTTGAGCTGTGTATCTAGGGGTGTGGTGGGCCGAGTATAGGGTGTATCATGGTCAGATTCTAGGGTGTGGTGGGTCGAGTATAGGGTGTATCATGGTCAGAGTCTAGGGTGTGGAGGGCCGAATATAGGGTGTATCATGGTCAGATTTTAGGGTGTGGAGGGCCGAGTATAGGGTGTATCATGGTCAGATTTTAGTGTGTGGAGGGCCGAGCATAGGGTGTATCATGCTCAGAGTCTAGGGTGTGGTGGGCCGAGCATAGGGTGTATCATGCTCATAGTCTAGGGTGTGGAGGGCCAAGCATAGAGTGTATCATGGTCAGAGTCTTAGGTGTGGTGAGCCAAGCATAGGGTTTATCATGTTCAGATTCTAGAGTGTGTAACGTAGGGTGTGTTATTCAGAATGTAGTGAGTGTAAGGCAGAGCTAATACGGTGTGTCCTGCTAAGGGTATAGGGGTGTCTTGGGTAGAGTATCTGTGTATCCTGGTCAAAGTTCAAGGTATACTGAAGAAAACTGTGCTTGACTTTTGCAAGTATTTTGTGGTCTAAGTTGGTATGTTGTCAGTCTGATATTATCTCATTGTCTAGCTGTTTGAATGTTAAAAAACTGCAAAGCTTTAATTGAATTGAAATATTACTTATAGTGAATTAGATGCTTTAATCGTGAAAGAGCACATGTAACGTATTATTATTATAATTATTATAATTATTATATAATGGGAAGACACGAATATACGCTAGAGACAGATGATAAATGGGGTTATGAGTAAACGAATGACGTAAGAAATATACGAAAATGGAATGAACGTGGCGAGGAAACAGTAAAGAAACAGTAAATAGTCTATATTAACAATTTAAAAAATATATATTTAAGATGCGAGGCTCGTAGGCGGCGAGTAATTGCACCTTGCGGCTGCAGGAAAGGCGAGGTCCAAGAGCTGAATCTCTACCAAGCATACATAGTGTGTGTGTGTGTGTCTGAGAGAGAGAGAGAGAGAGAGAGAGAGAGAGAGAGAGAGAGAGAGAGAGAGAGAGAGAGAGAGAGAGAGAGAGAGAGAGAGAGAGAGAGAGATAATATAGTTGACATGATTGAGAAAATTGGCGAGGAATCAGTATATGATGGTTAAAAAGGCGGTGCCCAAGAGCTACTAGCTCGACCCCTACAGGCACAAATAGACGAATACAAATATTTTTTTTTTTTTTTTTTTTTTTTTTTTTTGAGATATATACAAGAGTTGTTACATTCTTGTACTGTGAACACATTCTTGTACTGTGAACACATTCTTGTACTGTGAACACATTCTTGTACTGTGAACACATTCTTGTACTGTGAACACATTCTTGTACTGTGAACACATTCTTGTACTGTGAACACATTCTTGTACTGTGAACACATTCTTGTACTGTGAACACATTCTTGTACTGTGAACACATTCTTGTACTGTGAACACATTCTTGTACTGTGAAGATACATTCTTGTATATGTGAATTCAGACTTAAAAGGCACCTCGAAACAGAGCCTTTTACACCTTCAAACACAGCAAGCAAAACACGCTTTCAAAGCAATTCACACTATTTCACCTCCGGCTCTGACAGACAGAGATGACAGTTTTCATGACAGCTTGACACAGTTTCCATGCCAGCGTCCCTGAGTGCTGCCCGCGAGCCAACACTTAGCCATCTTAAACACTACTACCTACCCCGACAGAAGGCTAACAAAAACAGTTTAATGTAACGCCGCGAATAATGAGTAGGTGTTTGTTGAGATAATTGTTTGCTTTTATAATCATTCTTATTTTTATTTGTTTTATAACAGCCGAGAACAGTGATGAAATACAGAGGGAACACATACAAGTTCCTTGTAGTTTGTGAAGCAGGGTGTAGCAGGCAGGGTGTAGCAGGCAGGGTGTAGCAGGCAGGGTAGTCTATGAGGCAGAGTGTAGGAGGCAGGTAGTCTATGAGGCAGGGTGTAGCAGGCAGGTAGTCTATGAGGCAGGGTGTAGGACTGGTAGTCTATGAGTCAGGGTGTAGGAGGCAGGTAGTCTATGAGGCAGGGTGTAGGACAGGTAGTCTATGAGGCAGGGTGTAGCAGGCAGGTAGTCTATGAGGCAGGGTGTAGGACTGGTAGTCCATGAGGCAGGGTGTAGCAGGCAGGTAGTCTATGAGGCAGGGTGTAGCAGGCAGGTAGTCTATGAGGCAGGGTGTAGCAGGCAGGTAGTCTATGAGGCAGGGTGTAGGACTGGTAGTCTATGAGTCAGGGTGTAGCAGGCAGGTAGTCTATGAGGCAGGGTGTAGCAGGCAGGTAGTCTATGAGGCAGGGTGTAGCAGGCAGGTAGTCTATGAGGCAGGGTGTAGCAGGCAGGTAGTCTATGAGGCAGGGTGTAGCAGGCAGGTAGTCTATGAGGCAGGGTGTAGCAGGCAGGTAGTCTATGAGGCAGAGTGTAGCAGGCAGGTAGTCTATGAGGCAGGGTGTAGCAGGCAGGTAGTCTATGAGGCAGAGTGTAGCAGGCAGGTAGTCTATGAGGCAGGGTGTAGCAGGCAGGTAGTCTATGAGGCAGGGTGTAGCAGGCAGGTAGTCTATGAGGCAGGGTGTAGCAGGCAGGTAGTCTATGAGGCAGGGTGTAGCAGGCAGGTAGTCTATGAGGCAGGGTGTAGCAGGCAGGTAGTCTATGAGGCAGGGTGTAGCAGGCAGGTAGTCTATGAGGCAGGGTGTAGCAGGCAGGTAGTCTATGAGGCAGGGTGTAGCAGGCAGGTAGTCTATGAGGCAGAGTGTAGCAGGCAGGTAGTCTATGAGGCAGGGTGTAGCAGGCAGGTAGTCTATGAGGCAGGGTGTAGCAGGCAGGTAGTCTATGAGGCAGGGTGTAGCAGGCAGGTAGTCTATGAGGCAGAGTGTAGCAGGCAGGTAGTCTATGAGGCAGGGTGTAGCAGGCAGGTAGTCTATGAGGCAGGGTGTAGCAGGCAGGTAGTCTATGAGGCAGGGTGTAGCAGGCAGGTAGTCTATGAGGCAGGGTGTAGCAGGCAGGTAGTCTATGAGGCAGAGTGTAGCAGGCAGGTAGTCTATGAGGCAGGGTGTAGCAGGCAGGTAGTCTATGAGGCAGGGTGTAGCAGGCAGGTAGTCTATGAGGCAGGGTGTAGCAGGCAGGTAGTCTATGAGGCAGGGTGTAGCAGGCAGGTAGTCTATGAGGCAGAGTGTAGCAGGCAGGTAGTCTATGAGGCAGGGTGTAGCAGGCAGGTAGTCTATGAGGCAGGGTGTAGCAGGCAGGTAGTCTATGAGGCAGGGTGTAGCAGGCAGGTAGTCTATGAGGCAGGGTGTAGCAGGCAGGTAGTCTATGAGGCAGAGTGTAGCAGGCAGGTAGTCTATGAGGCAGGGTGTAGCAGGCAGGTAGTCTATGAGGTAGAGTGTAGCAGGCAGGTAGTCTATGAGGCAGGGTGTAGCAGGCAGGTAGTCTATGAGGCAGGGCTTTATACTCGAAAGCCTCAGGATATGCAACGAGGCTGAATGTGATATATAGTCGTAAAAAAGCAGAAAGATAATTAAGTGCAATACCTCTGATGAAGCAGTGGGAGGCGAGGCTCAGGAGCTAGAACTCGACCGTGCAAGCACACGATGGTGAGTACACTCATGGGGGGAAAGTGACCGTCAAGGTTGACGAACCATCACCCCTCCACCTCCCCCATTCCCCTCCCCCATCCCCTCCCCCATCCCCTCCCCCATGGCCAGACGTCTGTGGTTGACTGGTGGGGGTT